GTCAGGATGGCGCCGGGCCGGGCAGTGGTTCCTTGCAGTGGGCGAAGGCCCTCCCGAGATGGACAGACACTGCCTACAACACTGGGGCAAGCGCAGGAACGATGGTCAGGATGGCGCCGGGCCGGGCAGTGGTTCCTTGCGGTGGGCGTAGGGTCTCGATGGGCCAGAACAGACGCCACGACGGCACCTAGCACCACCACCACCAGTTGGGTGCTGGGGCCCCGCAAACCCATTGATCACAAACTCCCTGTGCTGGGAGACCAGGTGAACCTCTAATCCACGATGACCAGTCAATTGGAAAATGAAACAAGAGTGAGACAAGGACATAAGAGACAAAGGACACACAGGAGACATCCCCCGGTTGGTTGGTTTTCTCATCGGGCATGAAATCCCAGTCCCATCTCATCAGCATAAGCCAGGAAACGAAACATGACCCAAACTACCCATTGAAAGGGTAATTTAGCACCGAGTGCGGCCAGTCACTGGGACACTCAACTTTTTGACCTCACAACATCATCCCCAAGTTGTTCCAGAAGGGGCGATTCTTCACTGTTAATGGGTGCCCTCGGGTCAGCTCCCACTCAAGCTCATAGCTAGTGACCTTGTGCACAAGAACCTAAAACCCGGCCCGGCCCCGTACCATCCTCACAGTAGTTGTTCCGTTGGAGCCCAGCGCGGGAGCCCTGGTGTCAGTCCGTCTCATCGAGAGTCTTCCTCTTTGGGGCGGACACTCTCTCAAGTCCTTCTCCCGGGACTGCTCTCTGCTGAAGACACCCAAAGCCAGTGAGGCAGAGCCTTGTCGTTCACGCTTCCAAGGACCGTTCAGGCTGTGCTGAGTCTCCATCTTCTTCCCCAGCACCAGAATCCAAAGGCATCGATTCTTCGCTGGTCCTCTTTGCCACCGTCCGGCTTTCGCATGCGTGGGGGTGATGGAAAAAGCCTGGCTTCCGTCAGGTGCCCCTGACTCCTCAAAGTGGGCGTCTCTGATTTTGAACAACTTACAGAGGTCGTGGGCAGCAGATTACACAGTAGGTGGTGTAATAGTTTAGGTACTTCAGAAAAACAAATCCACAGCAACTCATATATAAGAGAGTTTTATGTAAAGAAAGTGTGCATCACGAAAACATCCCAACCCAATGCTG